CCAAACTTGAACCTTGGATGCTTTTCAACACAGAGTAGAAACACAACACAGATGCCTGAAAATGAAACTGTCTCATGGTAAGCACATACAGTATACCATTTACCATGTTTTTTCCCTAGAAGCTATGAGAAAGCACCAGCAAAACAGCCCTCTGTCTGAATGTTTATTTTATGACAAGTTCATTAGTTATCACAGCTACTGCATGCAATAGCTGTGCTCGGCATATATTCATAGCAATATTATTCTTATTCCACACTTCATACATGATAATATTATTGGAGTTTTGTCTGCAGCCTGGCGTGCTACTTGTAATTTGTGTGACTGAGAGGGCCTTTCATGGGCTGGGTGTGATCTTCTGTCAATCCAGCATTAACCAATTGTTCCTTCCCATCTCTGGATTCAAAGCGAGCCCCACCTTTCTGCTGAATGTTTACTTTTCCTCTTTTTCCTCAGTTGGAAGCAGTTGTTTGTTTGCTGTTTATCTGTTCAGTTGGTTGCTAAGTATGAGTGCAGTAAAGAAAGTAGTATAAACAAGTCTGTAATTTCAAGCAACTGTAAGTAATTTGTTAAATTATTTCCCCTACAAATGTCTCAGATTGAATTATTGAGACCTTAAGTGTCAGTTAATGAGAAGGGAGTGGTCTCTGGGGAACCTGAAGTTTTTCTTCTCTATGGATCTCTGTACTTGTACAGCAGCAAAAAGGAATTTTACTAGAATTCAGAACTCTGCAACAAATATACCTTCTGTTTTCTATTAAAGGAGTGTTCCCATGTAGGAGCAGTACTGTGTATCTCGGCCTAGACAGATGCATCAGCACAAACACCAGTTTTTGTTTGTCACCTAGAGAGAACAGAAGATTTATTTATCCATTACATTGCATAGACTATATATAGTGGGCAGAATCCACATTTAGGCATGTACAGAAATGGCCTTCCCCATGGTTATCCTTCCATCCTTCTGAAAAGGCAGAGGATGGTGAGCAGGATGGATCAAGCTGTAGTGAAGGGGAAACCTGCAAAAACTGAGTGAGGTTGCTCCTATAAATATCAGTCTTATCCACCCCAGCTAGATCCTCGATCCAAGCCATTATGTTTATATCCCTACTCTCTTCCTTCATTCTCCATTCAGTCAAGAGTTCTGGCTTGGTAGAAATGAAGCCATTACAGTGACTCAGAGGAGCTAGGAGGACAAATGTGAGATTAAACCTCACCCTCTTAAACTCAGTTAAGGCATGAAACAGACTAAAGGCAGTTTTGCAATTAGGAGCTTCCTTAAGATGTAAAGAGCAGCTGATTACAAGTATCTTGCAGCAGTGTTTTGCAACTTTACAAGTTACAAATTAGCTTACTTTTTTAAATGACTGGTCAGTAGGAGTTGAACACTGGGCTGTTTCCATGCTGATTGTACAAACACAGCAGCTTTGAAGAATGTGTCCCTTTGAAGAATGTACTGAAGCCTTAGGTTGGGCAATATCTTTATTGGATCACTAAAAAGTTACAAATAAATTCTCCAGAACTTTCCATTGGGTATAAAACTTGGGGATGTCTAATATTTGCCCCATGAAGAGTTCTGGAGAACTCACTCATCTTTCTTGAAACTTTTTAGTGATACATAAGATCATTGCCCAATTTCACACTTTGTTGCTTTGAATAGATCACAAGGCCATTCTTTGCATGTGAAGGGTGTATTTAACCTCTCCAGTACCTTAGGATTCCCTATTCACAATGTATCTACTTGAGTCTTTATCTGGAAGAGGATCACAGGAATTTGGTGTCAAATGTATTTTTGCTCAAACTAAAGGGTGGTTAGGAAAAAAAGAGGAACAGTAAAGTAGATGTATTTCCCACCAATGATTGCTATGCAGAGCAAGAAAGAACTAAGGATAACTACAGGTATTTCAAATTCCAGGACTAGGAGCATTATTTCAGCACTTCTGAGCTTGAAGTTTTTAATGCATATTATCTACTTGAGCACTTTGTTTTGCTTTGTTTATTTGGTCTGCTGTTTGTGTTAACTGTACTTCTTGGCAAGTATTTTCAACAAAATGGAGTAAATATCTTGATGTTGTTAAAAGAGAGTTTTCTACAGCAAGCACGTGAATTCCTCTGGAAAAGATACATGCTGATTTCATCAACAACCATTTCTGCTAGAGCACCTGAACGGGGTTTAAACATGTTTTTAAATATATATATATATATGCTACAAGTCATTTATTAGAAAAGTTAGTATTTTGTACCACAGTTCTCAGAATTCCTCATTCAGAATGGCTAGCTTCTCTAATAACTGATTTGAATTCCAATCCTGGTTATTTTTCCCCATACCAAGTATGCAACTGTTTCTGTACTTCTGATTTCCAAGGTGATGAGAAAGATCCTTAGTTGCCTAAATATGTGAAATATGTAACAGTCAGTCACTGAGATATTACAAAATACATCAGAATAAATAAAATGCAAGACTAAACATTTGTGAAATTGGTCTAGTCTATCAATAGTGGGTGGAATGAAGATGAGAAACATATGGACATATGCAGATAATAGTTCCTTCCACTCTTGATTTGATTATTATGTGCTAAACATCTTGTAAAGTGCTTGCATGGACAATGCACTGCGCTCCTTTGGGAATAGCAAGCCGGCGTGTAGGCCTTGAAGGTGTGCAGATTGCATGCCTTGAGTTGAAATGACAGTTTTTCAGAATTTGGAGCAGAAGACGTAGGGGGCTGTTGATGAAATCCACAGGCTGCATCCTCTGTCTCTGTCTGAACCAAGAAGTACTTGCCTCTTTTTCACAGGTTTCTAAAACTGGTAGCTAACAGGGCTTTCACAAAAGATAGGGGACTGAGTTTCCTCTGGCCCACCATAATATGAGTGCTGTGCATACAAATCACTGGGCTTGTATGAATTATAGCAGGTGTGCACTGGATACAAACTGATTTAATTTAAAATCACCATATGGATGCATGATAGTTATTAAACCTCACAGTTTAACACAAACGTAAACGTCAGTGAAGATATTTATGTTTTTTTAATTCTGTAAATCAAAGCAGTCCCCAAAAGGATGAGTAATTAATATTTTATAATACATATTAGTATCAACACTGCATTCCATGCAGACAATCTATATTAAATGACTTGCCCCAAGCTTTCTCACCCTATCCTCCCTAAAGTGAATATGCTGTAAATTCAAGTATGTAGAAAGCAATTATCCTTTCCATTGCTATGAGATGATAATATTTGGTGCTTAGATCATGGTTCCTATGGATAAGTAAATTACTCATCAATGTAAGGAGAGCTCATGGAGTTTTTGCAATTAGATATGGTCAACACATCAATATCTTAAAGGTTTCATATGCTGATTGAGTCTTTATCTAGCCGTTCATCTTCATAACAAGTTCATGGAAGTCCATTCATATCAGTACAGAATACATCATCTTTTGTTCTTCCAACTCAGTACTGAAATGCTCAAATAATATTTGCAAAATTTGTATATAAACACGTATTTAGAGTTTGAGAACTGTGTCTCAGTCATTGCTTCTCTGCATTAATGATTTGTTTTAATGATTCTAGACTACTTTCCATAAGAAATACATGATTCCATTTATTTCTTCCACAGATTTTACACCTCACACTTCATCTAGCACCCAATGGTTGTGATAAATGAGCAGTATTTACAATGACCCACAAAAGTTCCTTTGGCATGTGAAATTTAAAAATAAACTCACCTCAGCAAAGAAATCCAAAATCATTGTAGAAGCTCTAGTTCCATTTTGTCTGTATATACATCTATACATCTCTATACACTTATACAAAATCAATTATATACTGTTTCTGATATAATTTGATCCTGAGGAAATCCCTTAGGTAACCAGGCTCAGCCTGAATTTGGAATGAGGTTATAATACCTATATATGAAGGTATTTAAGATGTGTCCCCCAAAATAATTAAAAACATCTCTATTTAATTATTTTCCTCCAACCAAAGCTGCACAGCTGCTATGGTATCCTACATGCACGGTTGGTCTTATTTTGTGTGATGTCTGTGCACAGCCTGTCTCAGTATAACTCTGTGAACAAATATTACCTTGAAGCAGGCCTTCCTGATGCTGCTGAACTGTAATTTTTATCAGACCTAGCCACTAGGGACTATGATGAGGAATAATGGGAATTGTAGTCCAACAACAGCTGCAGGAACAAGGTTGCCCACTGTTTTAAATATGCAGCAGTCGTAGACACTCCTATTTTCCTCAAGCTTACTAGTTAAAGCAGGTACATAATGCAATATCAACAGGCTAGTAGCATTCTCCCATCCACTCACCATGTAAATGCCTACCTCTATATAGTGCATGAGTGGGGAATTTAGAATAACAAGATGTCACATGTATGAGAAATATTAGCTGGAGAAATAATTATCTGGATTGATATTTATGATCTACATAAAATTTGCATAAGTATGTGCTCTTTTATGTGCCCCATGCATGATCCTCACAGTCACTGCAAAATATTTCTTATTGTCTGCACAGAAACATCAATTTTTCTGTAGGAGAGAACTGGAACTGGAAGAAAATTCTAGGGATGAGAAACATACCTAGGAACACACAGTGTCAACCACAGCAGAGGAATCCATATATTGGAATCCTATATTGGAATTTTAGGGAGCTGCACTGGCATTTTACCATTTTATCAAGCTGGAGAAGGCAGAACAGAGAGAATGGAAAGCCAGAGGACTATACCATTTCCAAGACTTTACAAAATAATTAGCATTTAAATCAGTATTTCCCAACCTGGAGGCCACAAAGTATTTTCTGGGGGTGGGTCACCTTATATGTGTTGTAGCCCTTGTTAAATAATTTCTCCCCTGACTCTTCAGAGCAGGACATTAAAGTCTGCATGCATGTGTATGTATGAGAAACAGGCCCTTTGGGAGAGAAAGAACCCTCTACTTTCTGAGAAGGGATGATTTTACCCCATTAAAAACACCTTTTTATGCAAATGTGCTGGTGGGGTCACAGGTTACTTGGCTATTATAAAAGGGGGTTGCAACTTGAAAAAGGTGGGGAACCACTAATCTAGATGTTTGACATGAGACATTCTTGATCACAAATTACATCCTGCTTCCCAAAGCTCACAAACTTTAATCTCATGGTGTGACTAGAGAAGCATTTGTTCCCAGTATTGTGTTTGGGTTAGAAACAAGCTCATTTGCTCATTTTTCAGGCACCCACATGACATATGTGCCATTATGAACTAGGCTACCCTTAATCGATACCTGCTTGCACCTTTTTGGATCTCTGTCAAGGGTTACTGTTATTTTGGTACAGGTATGATCACACTGTTTTAGTTCAATTCCAGTGTGTTCAATTGCTGGGAACAAATCAAAGTGATTGGCTGGGTGGTTGTCCCTTTGGTGAAGCTGCTTAATGATCTTGAGAATCAAGAAACTTCCTTGCCATTTATCTGTGATGGGGAAGGGAAAGGATATTTTGCATTTCTTTTTAATTAGTGTTAATGTATCAGTAAGGCTTTCAAATATCACTGATAGACTGTGTTAGTTAGCAAAATTCAAAACTTCCTTTTCTCAGATTAATCCAGGCCAGGATAATTTGACTGTCTAGTCACATCCTTACTGCTGTGGCTCTCAAAATCCCCCAGCCCATAGGTCCAGTTGCCACTGATGAAAGTCCCTCACTGTCTTCTGCTCCTGAAAACCAAGACCAGAATTTGCCCTTTGAAGTTGTTCTTAGAAAAAAGCAGGCAAGAAAGGTAAAGCTACACCCTAGAGGCAACTGTGAGATGGAGTTAGTAATTCAAAACAAAACAAGTTATGGTGGTGTTTTTAGGGTCTGATGCCAAGTTTGGCACATATTTTATCCCTTGGCTAACTTAGCTGTCAAACAGAGACAATTACCGTCAACGGCAAGGCTCCTTAATTAATGATTTCCTTCTCTGGGCTTGAATTTATACTGCCATTATAGATAAATATGAAGGTGGCATTTCAGACCCAGCTTAAGCTGCCCCCAGATCCACAAATGTCAGGTGCTGCATTCAATAAGTGTCACAATGAAGCTGAGATATTGAAAGAGCGCTAGTGAGTCTAGCTGTTTCATGATACCATAATCCATAAGCCCCAGATGTTATCTCTCAAGGGACATTTAGAAAGCAAATTACAGTCTTTCAAACAGCAGGCTGATCCCCCCCCAACTTTCCCAACCTTTTTAAAGAACAGTTTCACATATTTATTTTCCTATCCTATGAGAACATTTTTAAAAAACTATGTGTAGTGCTCACCATGATGCACAGCAAGAAATACACATGCATTTGCCAATTATCAGTTACTGTCAAGTTATAATGTCTGCAAAAAGAAGGAAGGGCAGAGGCTATATTAATTAGCTGTCCAATGATAACATGTAGTTTGTAGCACTTGGTGCGACCATCACCACCTCTGCAGTAAAGTCTGGACTCCATTATATGTAGCTTTCATGGCTGAAAATTCAGTGGCCGTATACCAAATCTGTCTGCTTCTCCCCTGTTTTTAGATGCTCATATACCTGTTGGGGAGTGACTGTAGGTTAGTGGTAGAACATATGCCTCTAAATGCTGAAGATCCCATGTCAATCCCTGGCATCTCTAGTTAGAATGCTATCTGAAACTCTGGATAGCTACTATTAGTCAGTGTCAATAATACTGGGCTAGAGGAAACAATGGTCTAATTCATAATATTAACACAGCTTCTTGTGCTCCTAACTCTCTTTGGGATATTTTCACTGTGTTTACTTTCCCCCTTTCCCCTTCATCTGAATTCATCATGAAATAAACAGGATATGGGAGACACGGTGTTAAAGCAACAAGGTAGCCTTCAGCACTGATCTGCTTCAACAAATCCTTCCTTCTCGTAGCCAGCTGGTTCCACCTCAGTGTAGGCTGAATGGTTTCTGAACTTCATGATCGGCCGCTGATGCGGTCTCCGCTGTGGTGTGAAAAGAAGTCCATCAGCATGTAGAAAGAGAGAGCTTTTAAAACACACAAACACATTGATCCTATACAGTCCAAAACTGAGTCCCTAATTCGTTATAGGCACAGAAACTCAGTTTTTCCACACAGCTGTCTTAGCTGAAAGGTGGAGACAGAGTCAGCCCTACCATGAGGAAGAATGACGCAACTGCCTCAGGCAGCAGATGCTAATGGATGCAAGCATGGGAAACAATCTTGTGATTGTTCTCCCTCTGCCACCAGCAAAATTGCCTCATCCTCACCTCTGCCCTAAGCCCTCTAGCCATTCTCCTTTGCTGCAGGACAGAGGTATATCTCTGACATGGATTGTTCTAATTTTGAAAACTGGACAGTTGTCTGCTGATGTATTTATTTATTTATTTAAAATATTTCTATCCCACCTTTCTCCCCAAAATGAAGTGGACAACTGCCATTACTCTATGAGCAGTCAGCCACATATAGAATGGGGGAAGAAACACTGCTTTGCCCTTTGCCTCAAGCAGCAAAATGTCTTGAACTGATCCAACTAGGACAGGAATCATACTTCAGGAGGAGAGAGGGCATGCTTTGTAGAAGTAAAGTCCCAGATTCAATCTTTGTCATCTTGAGGTGAAATAGGGATTGGCAATTCTGACAGGTTCAGAGGCCAAATTTTCACTAATAGCACTCATAGAAATGATTTTTTTTAAAAAAATAAAAAATTAACACTATAAATGACTCAATATTGACTTCCCGTTTTGATTTTGAGGTTGGGTGCTTGGGTATGCGGGCTGTGGCTGCCCCACATAAGAACTGATCCATTTAATTTATTTATTTATTTATTTATTTATGGATAAAAACACAATAATATGACATGTATAAAAATCGTCAAAGACACAGTTACAGCAATTAATTCCAAACAACATATTACCAAGATGACATGACTCAAGGAAGAAAAATAAAGATCAATTAATTGAGGGAAGGGAAGGCCTGCTTGAAGAGCCAAGTTTTTTAATGGCTTTTGAAAACACCCAGCGAGGTTGCCAGCTGAATTTCAGTTGGGAGGGTGTTCCATAAATGGAATGATTTTGTTTTTGTTTTGTTTTGGGGAGGCCTGTGGGCCTCAAAAATAGCTTGAAGGGTAGGGTTAAGTGCAATCAAAGGGACAGATTTTGCCCACAGCTCCATTAAAAGACTAGCTTTTATTAATGAGTCAAATTTTTCAAAACATATGAGTCAATCACAATGGGCAAACAGTCTGATTTATTATAAAGTAGCTCCCTGGCCTGCTCCAGTTATTTCAAAAGAAGGAAGTAGCTACACAGGTTCCATATACAAAGGGAATTATATGCTAGAACTGTTCTCTCTCTTTAAAAAATAATTAAAAGAAGGGCAACACTGGCCATGCAAGAAGGAAGAGTCCTCTGTATGAACATCATAGCTCATCACAAGCTCTGGACTGGAGTGAAATATTAAAGCAGATTTAATTTATTTTGTAGAACTCATCATCACATGCATATCTGAGACTGAGAATGTCTTCCCTCCATTTCTAGTGCAGAGATATTTCCCCAGAGATAATACAAACATTCAGTCTCAAAGGAAACACTATTAAATTATTCATATATTGTGTTATTTTTTAATTAGCAGCATTTGCAAAGATTTCTCAGGTGTAAAGGACCAGTAAAGAAATTGCCCACAGTTTATCAAAAGCCCTTAACACAAAATAAAGAAAATATACATTTTGTTTTTTTTAAAAGTGATACAGTGCACCAGCAATAATCTACCAGAGTCATTTGTAAAAAAATTAACTGTATCTGTCCCTTCAGCAAGGAGCAGGCGAAGCGTTCAATTTGCTGATAACATGAGGTGGCTTGCTTATTAAATCACTTCATTATATTGGAAGAAGCTGAATCAAAGTGAGCTCCAAAATGCAATTTGGATGCCATACTGTACCTCCACCCGACCCCAAGTGACCCTGCACCAGCCCACTTCAAAAGAGCCAGTTTAGACATGCCATAGTTTTCTCTCTTGGTGTTTATGCCAAATCAGATGGGGAGAGTGCAGATCTCTATTGGCATACCTTTGTATGATTTGCAGCTGATTGACAAGAATTCTGATTCCCACTTATTAACAGTAATGTTGCAAAAATTAACACTTTGGTAGCCAATTTCCAACTACCTGCAAAGTGGGAGAAAAAGAGAACACCCACTACAAAAGGACTTTAATTATTTACTCTGCAGAATAAAGGAGTATACATGGGTTAATACCCAAACAATGTGTTTCAGAGTTTATAAAATGATCACCCCTTGATCATTCAGCTGAAATTAAGAAAGTTTGAATTTAGTGGGAATATATTTTTATACAAACAGACTGGGAGCTCTGTTCAGTTCTAGTATTCAGAACAAACTCCTGGGTTTAGAATTATGTAACTATAAGTGCACATCCTTTGCACTAGTTTGTGGTTGGTGGAAGTCAGGATCAAAAAACCAAAGTAGATCCCACAAGAGTTGAGATTTGTCCATCCCTGCTTAGATTGAACACTGCCAGGAAGGTACTGCATTTTAGAGTAGGATTGTACTGGATAGGCTTCTAGTAGAGAGGACTGGTCACAACCAGAGATGTTGGCAAGTCTTGGTCTAAGTCCCAAGTCCGAGTCTTTGGTACTGAGTCCCGAGTCCAAGTCCCTATTTAAAAATAAGCTTTCCCCCATCCCAGGAAAAAGAAAGGCGGTGTGTGGGTTCTGAGTTATGAGTCAAGTCCGAATCATTAAAATAAAAACTGAGTTGACTCCAAATTGAGTTGTCAGTGTGACTTAAGTCCAACTTGACAGCAAGTTCTGTGACTTAAGTCCCCCTCCCTGGTCACAACTAATTTTACAGACATGTAGATTAATGCTTGAGACAAGAACTGTCTCTGAAGCTCACCTTAAGGAAGAATAAAGCTGCGCTGGATGTTGGATTGCTGATGATGTAGATGCCAGCAAGGATAATGACTGCGATGAACAGAACGGCCAGGACAATCCCAACAATTGTTCCTGTATGAAGCTGAGATCCCATTTTCTTCTCAAGGGGTTTATTTAGCAAATCTTTAATGGAGGGGGAATAGAAGTGAAATGTATATATTCTGCAGATGCAGCACTAGCAATAACAAAAGGGGAATGAAAGCATGGCCACACACAAAGAGATTTAGGAGGTTATCTTCATTCAGTTGTCAGAGTTTCTAAGCTTGGTGCAAAGACACCATTTGAGGCCCAATTGTCCATAATGACCAAAATGTTCATTTCAGATTCGTGAATTTCATTTAAAACAGCCAAAAATCTACCCCACATATAATCTATATAATAGAGAAGTCTTAATACACTAAATTTGAGTTTGATAAATGTTTGCATATGAGTTTGGCTAAGTGAGATGGGAAGGGCTAGGAGAGCTTTGAGTCATTGTTATCTTTCAAAGGAATTATTGTCAAATTTTGAATTCCTATTTTACCAAACATATCATCATCAGTTGTTAAGTTGTGTTCAACTCTTCGTGACCCCATGGACCAGAGCACGCCAGGCCCCCCTGTCTTCCACTGCCTCCCGGAGTTTGCCATCAAGTCAATTCTGACTTATGGTGATCCTTTTCAGGGTTTTCTAGGTAGAGAGTACTCAGAAATGGTTTACAATTCCCTTCTTCTGGGGGCAGCTTGTACAAGGCCACACAGGCTAGCTTTTCTGGAATGTCCAGTGGGGAATTAAACTTCCAACTTCTGACTCTGCAGCCACATACCTAAACCATTGAGCTATCCAGGCAGTTATCAAACAGAAGTATTCTGGAATAATAAATACTCCCTAACAGCCACCTACAATTAAACAAAATCCAAATACTTCTATTAGGATCACTTATAAGTTCACACAATTTGTAAGCTTTCAGATTTTCCAAAGTTCTTCAGCATGATTGCATTTCTTTTCTGTTTCACTTGCTGTATCTGCAGGGGCACAATTTGCTGCTCTACCTGAGGCAGCAACCTTCCTTGGATCATTCCTACTTGAAGACACAGACCAAGTCATTGGCCTCTTACATGATTACAGGGCAGAGTTGTTCCATTTGCAATCTACTTGGTATTTCCCCCAAAACAACTGTGATTTTGGGTGCATCTTGTATTCTGCACTCTGTTGTTGTTAATGTGCCATCAAATGGCATCTGACTTATGCTGATCTTAAACAGGGTCCCAAGGTATATGAGTGGTTTTACCACTGCCACCCCACTGTGTGGTTTTCCATAGCAGAGCAAGGATCTGGACCCAAGTCTACTTTGCCTTTACTTATCACTCTGTCCACTATAAAACATTGATTAAAGGTAAAAATATCCCCAAATATATATAGTGCCTTGAAATTGGGCCATAGAAAATGAGGGCACTTACCTTCTCCTTCTGGAATCTGGTTCATCTTTGTGTCATCTGTAAGAAAACAACAACAAAAAGTGGACTGATATAGGTATAGTATGGTATGCTAGTATAGCATACTCTTTCTAAATACTGTATGTGGATCTCCATGTGCTGTCTGCCACTTAGTCAAGCTAATCATTCCAGAAATTAATCAAGAAACATCATCCCTTAAATTTGGCCAAATAGTGAGAAGTTTTATAGCACTATCAGCTGAATTCTATGTTCCTTTTACTGTTTCTCATTATGACAGAGCTGAGTCGCTGAACTGCTAAACAATGAATTGTTCAGTATTTTGTTATTATGAGATTATGTGTTAACATGTTCTTTAATGGAAGCATTGGCATCTCTGAATAAGATATGTAGCGTTACAATAGTAATGTGTCAATTGTTTGATTCTGTAAAATCTAATTATGACATGCTGCTGGTTGGATGTAGGTAAAATATTCTGTGTGGTAACTTCAGACCTGACGTGTGTGTCCAACTTCTTTCCTTTGGAAAGCTCCTCATCCCCACTAGCAGGAGGCTTCCAAAAGAGGGCATTTCAAGACTACAGCAGTGGACTAGATGTGTTGTTTGTTTTTGTTTTTTAGCTGGGTCGCATGTTCCTTTGCCTCGCAGAAAAACCAAGAGTCAACTAATTTTGCCTCCCATCACCACCACCCTGGAATCAATGAGGAAAAGGCATTAAAAATATGCATGGCATGGGAAAAGGTGAGGTCACCCAGACACCTTCCATCTAGGCTGCAATGGGCTGGCATCTGTGTGGTAACTTCAGACCTGACGTGTGCGTCCAACTTCTTTCCTTTGGAAGTAGATTTTGGAAGTAGATGATCTGCCATTTTGTGCACAAACATGAAGCCCACAAAGAATTTTAGTTACCCATTGGTTAAAACTGGTTGTATTTTACTTTTGTATGATTATATATAGTAATAATTGTTTTCCATGCATGTTAGGAAAACATATATAGAGTTAGTTACAGATAACCTTCACTAATGTTTAAATTATGCTATTTATATCTAATATATAATGCATGCATGTATTATACTATACTACTGCAATTTTTCTTGTTATATATTGCACATAAACATAAATGTATTCATATGATTATGTTTTCTTTTTGTAGTGCTTGTAAGCTTGCAAGATACTAAAAAGAAAATATTGTCAATGCAGGGCTACCTATGGAAAGTGTCAGGAAACTTCAGCTGGTCAAAATGAAGCAGCCACACTGCTGACTGGGGCTCGTTACATGGATCACATAACCCTCCGTTACAGCAGCCACACTGCCTTACCAGTTTGTTTCTGGACTGAATTTAAGGTGTTAGTTCTAATCTATAAAGCCCCAAAATGGCTTGAGTCCAAGTTACTTCAAGGATCACATCTCCCTTTATGACCCTGCTCAAGTGTTAAGATAATCAGGAGAGGCTTTTCTCTAGGTCCCTCCACATTCACAGGTGCACTTGGTGGAGACATGGGAAGAGATCCTTCTCTGTTACTGCTTCCAGACTTTGGACCTCCCTCCCACAGGAGGCCAGGCTGGTCCCATTTTTGTGGAATGAGTAAACAAACAAACAAACAAACAAATAAATAAATAAAGCTGAAAACCAGAGTGCTGAGTAATCATCAACCTATCTAACTGGTTTTGGTGTTACATGCTGTCAAGTCACCTCTATGGCAACCTTATGGAAAAGCAACCTCCAAAATGTTCTGTCCTCAGCACCCCTGCTCAATGAACTCGCTAAATGAATGAACACATGCATGAATGAATGAATAGAGAAGAGATAAATCCTACACCAAGCTTTTTCTAATTGAGTATCCAGAAAAAATTGAACTGGACATTACAAATCAGAGATCAACACATAACACAATTTGTTAGTATAAATCACATGTTAAAAGATTCAATTTGCAGTCAAGAGCAGATAGCAGCACCCACAAGAGAAAGGTTTTGTTTTCCCACCTTTTTTGTTTTAAAAGATGATGATTCTTCCAGAAGAAAATGTGTCTTTTCTCTATCCATTTCTCCAGAGAAGGAAATCAAGACTTCCTTCTGACCCATGTGGAAACACACCACATATACACACACACAAACATCAATTTTTGTGAAGACCTGGTTTCAATCAAGGTCACATGAGATAATCTGCTTACATGGCTGCTTTCAGACAGGGGAAACACACAGAGAACTCATTGGAAGAACCAGTTCCAGCAGGAAATCCACTTATATTTTACCATCACCTCTTGCTGTCTTTGGAAAGAATGAGTAAGAAGGGAAAATTTTCTCTCCTCTGACACTTGACAACATCTCCTGGCAGAAATCCTTTGGATTCTGTATTTCTGTACAGTGGAATATGGAAATGGTATCCGAAGAACTAGGATGTCAATAACATTCATAACATTCTCCTTTGTCAAGAGTTCAAAGAATCATGACCAGGAGACTGGGCAGATGGCTCCTACAGTGTCTTCAGAGGACTACTATTTCTCCATTTCAGGAAAAAAAGATACAGTCATTTTCTCAGACTTATCATACACACATTCTTCTGCATCTGAGAAAGACCACATCCCCACACATTTAGACTGGGCACCTAGCTTTCAGCAACACTGCTGTGGCGATCTACCCTTTGTTGCCCCTATTTATTTGGACCTCACAAAGGTACACGCCCTTCACACTGCTACCAGGTATTCTCCTAATACCAACTTATGTCACAGGTGCTGCCAACACTAAGGGTTATAGAATTTAGGAAGCAGAGTTTTAATTAAATATTCTTTTATTGTCAACCAAATTAAAAGGTAAATCACATATGAACTGTTTCAGGTGTTAATACGTATTGGATCATGTTTGCTGTTAATCAATATATCTCTTGCTTTCATTCAATATCTTTCAATTCACTAACCCTCTCCTTCGTTCTCCTAAACCCTCTCATTCCACTTCTCCAACTGTCCATAACTCTCTCTAACTGTCTAACTGTCTTCTCCAACTGTCTCTCTGGCTCCGCCCCTCCTGTCCTTTAGCTCCTCCCCCTCGAGCTGCTGTGACGGACAGGCAGGAATGACGTCACCTTTTTGCATTCCGCTACATCTACATTAAAGATCTCCTCTTCAGAGATGACGTCACCTTTTTGCATTCCGCTACAACTACTAATATTAAAGATCTCCTCTTCAGAGATGGACAAAGTACTGCATGAAATTTCAATTCATTTTTGCTTGGGTCCCACCACTTTAACAATAATAATAATCTCTAGTATGTGCTTGATCCTGGGATCCGTTTTAAATTCTTAAATTAAACAATCAAGACTACTGAAGTTATAACTCTGTATAAGCAAAGCACTTTCTCTTACCCATGTTCACCCAGCCCAGGGATCTCCAAATAGGCTGGACTGCAACTCCCACCATTCCTAGCTGGTATGACCCTTTATAGGAGTTGTAATCCCACACATCTATAGGAAACAAAGTGAGGCACAGCTTCTCTAACCAAGGAGCATCTGCAGCTTAAAAATCTGTTTTCAGCAATGATTGCTTTTTCCTCAATATTTTTGAAACCATGTAGATTAGACTAAAAACCCACCATCCTAAAGCAGTATGGTCATTAAAAGGAATGACTAGGGGTGCTGGAAATGTTGTAACACCAATCTGAAGGCCCCAAAGCTAAGGAATGATATTGCACAAATGCATCTCCATTCAGGTGGTCAGCAGGCAAAGTTCCCAGGCAGGGTTGAGGCCTAACTCAGTGGTCTTTGCCACCTCCTGCTTCCTTATTTTTACAGGTGAAGTTTTATTTCCTGATCCAGCTGGCTTTTTGGTTTGCCTCCTTTCAAGATGAGAAATTAACTTCATGCTTGCACATGTTGCTCTTTTTAAAGCCTTCCTCCCTGCTGCTCTGCTGCCAAGGTTCAAAAAGGATCTGGGATAGCATAACAATTACAGTACTCTTCACACATCTTGTATTAGCTCTTTTCAAAGTCATCTCTGTCATAAAAGAATGTTGTCCTCTTTTTCCTTCATTATTGAAGGACAACCCATAATGTTCTATTTATTTTAATTAGCAGCTCGAGACAGGGACGATTAAGCAGCAAAACTGAATCAGTACCTGGTGCTACTCTCAGAGGGAATACAATTTTGGTGCTAACACAAGCATATTATGAACCACATCCTAGGAAAAAATGATAGAAGTTCTCCTGGAAAAAAAACAGGAAGACATTGGAACAAGTAGGGCCTGTTCAAACTGTTGCACTGTGGCGTTCTCCTCTCTTTTTTTTTGTTCTTTAGCAAGTCAGCCATGCCCTCCTCCACAATACTCCAGTCCAGCCCCATTCTCACCCAGTTTTCCATTCTACCCCTACAAAAAGCCAGTTACTATCCCATGACTAGCACATATCACTCTCCTCAGGCTGTTTATCCCTGTTTCTCTGGGCCCTGCTAAGCCTGTTAATATTTTCTTTTGTCTGTGTAGGTCCTGCTGCTTTGGCTACATAAATACTCAGAGCTGAAGATGGAAAATGGAGAGGATAATACTCTGTTTAATGGTGAAAATGGTTGTGTTTTGTGCTGCCCTCACATTTTTAAAGAATTTCTCCTCAAACTCAGCAGGCTCTGGTATTTGCAAGTTAATAACTTTTAAGTAGCATAAGCTTAAGGGGGATCACTTATTACAAAAAGGTTTCCTTTGTTTCAGTTCCTTTTATCATTTCTCCAAATATTACATTTAGCCATTCTGGGCAACTGGTCTTTCACTAATGATGATGGCCATCGGTGTGCGATCGCATTTGCGATCACTAGAACGGCCCCGTTGTGCGGATTCGTCGTTCTACGGTGCACTCGTTGTGCGAGGCACCACTGTATTACATTTAGCCATTCTGGGCAACTGGTCTTTCACTAATGATGATGATGATGATAATGTGCCCTCAAGTCAATTGTGACTTATGGTGATCCTTTTCAGAATTTTCTAGGCAGAGAGTACTCAGAAGTAGTTTACCATTCCCTTCTTCTGGGAGCATCCTTGGACCATGAAGCTTACTCTTGGCCACACAGGCTGGCTCTTCTCTCTGGAGGCACAGTGGGGAATCAAATTCCCAATTTCTCTCTCTGCAGCCAGATATCTAACTTGAGCTAGTCAGCCAGCCAGCCTTTTTCATGTATAGGAATATTTTATTCACAGGAGGCCATAGGGCTACCACAAATCCTTCTGCTGCTTGAGGTCACGGATAAAATAGCACTTCCTCCTCATCCCACATACAGAAGTCAACTGGACTGGCAGCTGGATCTTATTTTCACACTAGTGACAGGCAACATTTGTCACTGTACTTGAGGCAGCAGGTGAGTTTAGAGAACCCTGGATTAGTTGTGTGGATTTTGAAGCTCTGTATCTCACAAAGAAGAACAGTTAGAATTCTGGGAAGAACATCTAAGCTCAACTTCTGACTTTTCAGCAAATGCTGCCTAAGGTGGTTGCCACATCTAACAATAGCACCAGTTGAGGGCAATAGGTTGGCTAACTGAATATAGGCCAGGCTGCCTGAAATATATAGCTCTATTCTTGAGCAAACTGAAATGGTTAGAGAGTTCCTACTTACCACCCATTACACTGAGCATCTCCTGCCTGAAGCAGCTTTCTTTATGTGCTTAACAGGAGGGCATGCCCTGGATAGAGTAATTTGTACATGAACCATAAAGATCAGCTCTGAACTAGTGGCCACTGGCTTAAATGTTGGAGATTTCTTCAAAGAATGAAGTTTCAGAAAGGCACTGAAAACCCTACCATCTGGCATTCTTTCCAGATTTCTTTTGAGGGAAAGTATGATCAATAGTCTGTACAAACAACATAATCCCAGATTCAGTCTTCCCCTTTTTGCTTCGAGCATAAAATTTGACCCTAACCAATACCTTCTGTGGTGAGGCTGTTGACAAAGTGGGAGGAAGTGGTAACATCTTCTCCGGGTGCTGTGAAGGGAGTTCTGCTGGGGAGTGATGAGATGTAATCTGCATCCTCTTCAAAGTCTGCACAGGTCTTCTCTTCTGACTGAAACGACAAGCCTAAATCATACTGTCACCCTCTTTGTTTAGTGGGCTTTTGGTGGTCATGTGTCTGAGGGATTGTAGGAGTTGAAACTAAAAAAAAGTTATTTTTTTCAAGAGCTGAACAAATCTAGTCTCATCAATTGTCCTAGTAAGGGTCTGAGTCTTCCTTCAACTATCACATCTCCTTATCGTCTTACATTTGCTCCTTTCAAAGCCCTTTGGCACATTGGCCCATAGGCAGATAGAAGGTACACTGGAATCTACTAGTAGACCTCTAGATTACTGTTGAGTGGATTGACAAGGGTTCCTCACTCCCTGTTATGTAACACAGAGAAAGGGAACCTGTGGCATGCTGGACCTTGTTAGACTATAGTTCCCACTATCCTGCAGCACTGACCAGGCTGGCTGAGGCTGATGGGCATTGAAGTCCAACAAAAGGGGTTCTCAACTCCTTGTCTAGCAATTACAAAAACTAAAAAGCTTCTGGTCCCACACAAATTAGAGTGCAGAAAAAGAAAATTTGGGGGGAAACCAGGCATATGATTCTCATTTGAAAAGACTTAGGCTTGGTTCTGGTATCAGGCACAAAATCTTGTGCTGAGCCCTTGTTCAGAGACTCCATCTTCCTTAATTTTTAATATATACATCTATCTGAGCCATGTTTGTATCTGGTTTGTTGGCAGACCTCATGTTTCTACTTTAAAAATTAGATTATGCAAGCCTGGCCACCCCTGCACTAATCCTGTGTCTTGCCTTTAACTCTGATCTTGAACATTATTTTGCCCCCAAATGTAATTTTACATTCTAGCTTGCTCTCTGATCCTTAACATCTGTGTACATCTGTATACATGTATAGTATCAAGAAACACAGTAGCCCTAGTAGTTCTGGGTACCTGACTTTCAGTACTTAGTTTTCTTCCCTTTCTTTTTGCTTTAGATGTAACATGTTTCCCACCATCTGTTTTTCTCCAGTTGTATGATTCCTCACCTCCTTCACAGCTCAAGCCTTCTTTATTATGGTCTCTTGTCAACTGTAAATAATTCTGACAATTTTATTTTACCCTTAGTTTCAGAATTTTGCCTCTGATTCAAGCTGACCGTTTTTTATTCCATTAAATCCTCACTGGTTGGAAATTGCTGGCTGCAGTTTTGAAGGTGTTTTTGCTAGTCAATCGAACTGCCACTTTCCCAACATCCTAACCTTCTTGCAAACTGCCCTTCCATATTCTCCTTTCTGTTCTTGTATTTGTATTTTCCTTCTGTTTATCTCTTCACATTATTGTTGTTAAAAATGCAGATACATACACTTCACATTTTCTGCTAATAACTCTATAGCTTCCATCTTTTTTGCAACTTACAATACTCTTCGGTTTATATAATCAAGTATTAGTCTGATTCACATAGGCGACAGAAGCCTTCCCAAAACTGCTTCCCTCCAGATATATTGGATTACTGTTACAATCATCCACATGGGGTGATGTGGGTTGTAGTATAACATATCTGGAAGGCACCATGCTGAGAACTGTAGAATGTTCACAGTTCCTGAGGGGCTGCTGAGCAGAATGCACACAAGGCTAATATTCCACTCAGTATTTTTCTGTTACAAGGTGTGTTTCAGCACAGCCACCAACTACCACTGTTCTTCAGAATCTTGCAACATGCACAGCCCAACCATTTTCACTGTCATGGCACTATTTTCTTGCATACCTCCAGTGTAGCCCCTCACGTCTCTCAGTCATGAGACTCACTTCTGCTCTATTCATATGCCCATTTTAAAAATCAAACACACAAACCCTCCAGGCCAGGCAGGTTTGTTTTAGTATTTTCCCCCCCTGCCATCTAGATGATGCAAGTCTTGATCCAGTATCTTCAGTGACTTAGTTTTACTTAATGTGACTTTTTTTCTTGGTTTTCCATGGTTTGTTGTTGTTGTTTTGGTGACTTTTTCAAGGCATGGTTTATTTTGTTTAGGGATTTGTTTCAATTCATTCTGGTGGTGGGCTTTAGCACTATGGCACTTTCAAATGGATGTTCATTGTTATGTTAAGAGGCTCCTCATCAGAAGCCTTTAATTACCTCCCAAATAATAAACAAACACAGGCTCTGGAAGCAAAGATATAGCAGAGAAGAGGTTTTAAAAAGGATTTCCAGGGGAGAAGCATTTTTTGAAGATGTGACTATTTATGCTAAAATCTGAATGCAAATCCCAGTAAGTCTCATTCACCTTGTTGAGGAACTGGGAACAAAGCATGATAAGTTGCAGTGGTACCTTTGCCTCTTTTGGAGAAGCACAGAATATCTGACCTACTATTAAGGGAAAGATTACAGAGACACTTTCAAACTTGCTTGTCCTGGCTGAGGTTCAAACTGGATGTGATACTGAAGATTTCTGGCTATGTGCATAACGAAAGCTTCTTGTTCTTCTTCTTTTGCTCTCAATTGCAGGTACTGTGGCTGGATTAACTTTTTCCTCTCTTGCTGTGGATAAGATAAAATCCAAGCTGCTACTGGTTCTAGGAAGGAAACTCCTCTTGATATCTCTTTAGGAGGGTTGGCACAAAATATTTTTCGGCCTGGGTCAAAGGTCAAGATGGCACCTCCACCCCCATTCCATATACAGTGGGGTCTCGACTTACAAACTTAATCCGTATTGGAAGGCAGTTCTCAGGTCGAAAAGTTCTTAAGTCGAATCTGCATTTCCCATAGGAATGCATTGAAAACCATTTAATCCGTATCTGCTCTTTTCGTCCATAGAAACTAATGGGAAGCTGCTATTCCGCCTTCTGCCACTAGAGGGGGATATTTTTTCTTTTTTCCTTTTAACCTAAGATGACTTAGCTTTAAAAAAAAAGGAAAAAAAGAGTTCGTAACTCGAATCTAAGTTCCTAAGTCGAGTCCATATATTCCTATGAGAGCGGTTCGTAAGTCGAAATGTTCGTATGTCGAGCCGTTCGTAAGTCGAGACCCCACTGTACAGAAACGAACTGGACCCTAAATACTAGTGATGACTAGGACTCTTTGCCATTCGTGAGGGCAGCTGGACATTTCAGAGGGACAGGACAGCTCAGATGACACATGAAGTTCTGTACTTCATTCAGAAGGAATGGTCAAGGGGCCCAAGAAGGAAACCCAAGGATCTGTCATTGATATCCTCCAGCATCTGCTGCCTGATGTGACTTCCTTATTCTGCCTAATGGTAGAGCTGGCCTGCTCTTTTGAGAGTACTGCTGCAATTTGCTGCTGAGCAACTGGGTTGCTCTTCCCTTTTGCAACAAGAGCCTGTGAAACACAGAGGGGGAGGACATTCTGAACAAATCAATGTGCTCGGGCAAAAAGTTTCTTTCATCATTTTAATTTCCCTTCGACCACAATCTTACCTCTTGGCCACAGCCGTACTTCAGCCACTCTTCACGGTATCGATCAAATCCACTTGAGCACCTGTAGAGAAAAGATGTGTTTAAAAGTATGCATCAAAGCTACAACAATACACATGTTTGATGATACTTTCGGTGCCAAAACTTCCCCCAAGGAAAAATAATTTGATGCATGTGGGTGTCAGGATACTTTGCCTACTTCTGCTTTCCTACAGATACATTACTTCAGCGCAAGGAGGAGTACAGAAGGACTTGAGATGACGCAAAAGGAAAATACATACTGTGTCTGCACCACCCATTGCACAGTCAGTGTCTCCTAACAAGCTTCAGTCAGGCAAGAGACACTGGCAATATTTAAACAGAAGTTGCTTAGTAAGAAGAAAGTGGACAAAATTGGGGGAAAAACTTAAGGGAACATGCATTTGCAGTACATTATCCACATTGTAAGAAGATTTTATGACACAAAGTTAATTGTATTTCAATATGCATTAATTTTCCAGTACCCTTAAAGAATATAGCTTTTTGAAGTTTTTTTTTAACACGCCTAATTCCAGCTGCAGAACTTGGGAAAAATATTTTTCTGGACTACAACTTCCAGAATCCCCTGTTCAGTAGCTGGAATGTGTATCTAGGGAGTTGTCTAAAAAAGTGATATTTCCATGCTTTGCGTACACGCACGCACACACGCACGTACATCAATGGTTCCCAGGCTTGTTTGATATGGAGTCCTGAGAATTAAAAAATATGCTGTAGATATACAAGCTCTTGTTCTGAGCAAAGTGCCTTCTGTTAAGAAAGCATGAACAAACTGCTCATACAACAGAAAGCAGTATACTATTTGGCCCCTTTTTGTGTGAGAGTCAGACTATTTTAAGCATATGATTTTATCACTAAAATTTCCAGATGCATGCAATGTACCAGATATAAAGACAAGTAAATGTAACAGAGAGAGCAAAGGGGCTTCCCCAGAGGAACTGGGGATTCCATTCCAGCACAGCTGGGTCGGAAGAAGCAAAAATCCACATTCTGTTTAGCTAGTTGGCATTGTGTGCATCTGTTGCAGAAGAGCATATCCAGATTTTCTGAAAGAAACAGAAATCTTGGAAATCTGTGTTTATCTATCCATTTGTCCAGTGCTATTTGCAAAAGCTGATTTTTAAGCACTTTGGATGTTGCAATAAGGAAAAGAAGATGCACATTTTCCAGATTTTTATTTCTGCTTTCCTTAAACACCTGCATATGAAAGTGATAAATAATGGGAAAATACTGCTGAATGGAAGTGCTGGAATGGAAACTAACTAAGTATTATACATAAGAAAGATCATGGTCAGCTGGGTGGATCGGAACAAATCATGTCTTTTCTGATCCACATGCTGTACCTGAATACGAGCACAACAGCACATTTCAGCTGTTGTTCCCTTGCAACCTATAATCAGACACACACTATATTTGGTTCTAGAAGTATTGTACAACCCTCAGAATGACTATTAGGCCCTGACAGTCTTAATCACAATTAATCTTGCTAATATATATTTAGCAACAAGTGTGATATAATGGTTACAAGTATAAAATTGGAATTCGGGGGATTCCGGTTCTAATCTTCACTCAGTTGTGAAACTCACTGGGTGACCTCTGACCAGTACTATTTGACGCAGTACTATTTGAGTGGTGTGATCCTGAAAGACAGCCATACAGCATACCCTGAGAAAAGGTGGAGAAAGCAACTTTTGAAGACTAAATAGTCTTGGAAGGTGCAAATTACAACCAAAAATGTAATTCTTGGTAAATTGCATACCTTCTTTAAAAAAAAAACAATTTGATCAACAGAGTAACAATTTATTCAATGAATTACATCTCCCATTTCCTGACATTAACAATGGATTGAACTCTTTCTAACTGTCAATGTTAACAAAATGATTTGTAAAGCTCATTCCAAACTCTTGCTACAGGTTTGGATTAACACAGAAACTATCTGTTTGTCTAGAAAGCTAAATTGGAACAGGCTGGAGAGAACTAAATAGGGTTGGTTAAGGTCATATAGAGGTCCAGTATTCTATTTGCTGCTGTTTTCACATCCACGTGGCATACGTACCTAAATTACTCTACTTGGCCCACCTCCCTTTAAAGTGAAATAAAAAAGAAACAAAACAAAAAATCCTTTTGCCCTCTCCTCTCTCCTTCTTTCCTTCTTCCAGGAGTAAACTTTTAGGAATTAAAAAGTTTTGTTTAATTCCTAAAAGATATAGAGCATTAGCACTAACCCGACTAAGCTTTAAAAACAAACAAACAAACAACTTTGCTTCCTCCTCCACAGAGGATCAAAGGAAATATTTAATTTCCCAGTATCATTAAATGGTTAAACTGCCTGCTTAAGCCACTTAACAATGTTGGGAAACCAAAAGTAGATGGGAAATTGAAAGCAGCAAGCCATTCTCATCCCAACGCTCACACATGCTGAAACCAAACCAAAATGAAGAAATCCCACTTACACTTAAAAAAAGTAAACCCTGATAGGAAGCTACAAAGGTGCAAGTAGGAATGTGCTCGCATTTATGTTGTGTGGTTGCAGAGAAAAAGAATGAATCAACCCATCCTCAGAGTGGACCAAACAGTGGGACAAATCCCTGTGTAGTCACAGAAAGTAAACTACAGGGCCTCAGACTGTGAAGAGCCTCTAAATAAAAAAAGTGTCCAGTTTCAATTTTTAGTACATAATGTTTTTTCTAAATACTGTATTAAATTGAGGGAGATAACGCTTTGGGCCTCTTAAATGTGAAGGAGCTTTGGAACTTGGTGTGATTAAATCTGGCCCTGAGTAATATATATTACCATCTAAAAAGCCTGTCCCTATATATTTGCTAACATAGTGTGTGTTACCATCTGTCAGCTGGGTGTAGGTGGTGGGTGGAATGTAAAACCTTAGTCTCAATATAATTGCTTATTAGTACCATTGCACCAGTGCTGCAGCTGTACCCAATGAAATTCTCAGGTAAGACAAGTTTATAGAAAAATAATTTGGCCCATTTGAGGTTTGAATGGGTATTTCCCTACATCACCTTTGCAGGACATGACACCAACTACAGTTGAAGGTTAGATCAGATGTTACACAGGCTTCGCAGCTCTGGTGCTGGAGGCAAGCTGAAAGAGAAAGAGCAAAGGTAATTTTAAAAATGCACCTATATGCATACTTTCAAAAAAATGCCAGAAAATGAGGAAAGATTTCTTTAAGAAAAGCAATAATCAGTGGAACCAGGTAGAAACCAATGAGGAAACTGGAAATCTGCTGATGAAGACTTTGTAGAACAGCAGATCTCTATTCTAGATCTCTCCCCTTGTCACACTGCATCTCTAGAGATACAGATTCAGGCTGAGATACTCTTTAACCTCAAACAACCCAGAGCTAATCCACTAGTACTGAATCCCAGTTTTAGAGCTCATGCTTGATAAGTCAGTCGCAAATTAAACCCAGGTGGGCTCCCATCGCTGTAACACTTATTTCCAAGATGAGGTCATATCCATTCTTGCATCGGCTTTTCTAAACCCATACAGTCTCACAGGAAACTCTCAAACCCTGTGCAGGGAAAAAGTCTGGAAACAGAATTATTTTGCAACTTTCTCCCCTTCAGAATATCACAGAGAGAAAGAGTGAGTGAGTGAGTGAGAGCGACATGGGACATGTCCTGGGATAAACTTTGAAATTCTAGAGGAGGGGTGAGAAGATTACAGTGTATCTATCTTTAAAATAAAATCTCACCCCACTTTCCTTAGAATGAATTGGTACAGAGTGATTTCACAGCTGCCAAAAACTAGAAATAGTTGTGAATAAAGGGACAATGCATCCCAATCTCCTTCCATGGTTCTTGGCAGCAATTTTAACAAGACTTTGCCCCCAAAGAGAAGCAGTTAGCATATTACTACAGAAAAAATGATCATAATCATAGAACTGCAAAGCTGGAAGGGATCCTATGGATCATTGAGTACAGCCCCTGTCAAGGAGACACAGGAGGGAATGAAATTCCCAACCTTTAGCTACATAGTCAGATAACTAAACCACTAAGCCATCCAGCCGTTCTATACTTTTATTGTTTTTATACTGTCCATCAACCACTGCTCACTTGTGCTTGACTCTTGGATTTCCATCAGATTTATCCAGCTGATAGCCTCTGGCAACCCCTCCTCACTTTTAGGGTAAATGTAGGTTATATACAGGGAACCATGAACACAGTCTGGTTATGTCATCAGGGCATGACTTTGGAAAAAAGTCCAGACCTTCACTCAACAGAAAGAGCAACACATCAGAACTGCTTTATGACAATTTTGAAGTCCATCTGTAACCATTATCTTATAGTGGGGAACTAAATTGGAGTAGGGGTCATATTCTTCCACATGTGGGCCAGGTGATGCCAAGGGGCCACACTCTCTGATGTCACTGGATTTCCAGTCAAGTTGCCAGGTGGAGTTTTTCCAAATATCTCTTAGGCCAGGAACTAGGCTTCACCCCTCCATTCTGTTGTGTGCACAGAGAAAGGAGTTGCAGGAGTGAAACACTCAGCAGACACTTCCAGGAGTTCATAAAAGCACCAGCTGAGAGGAAGAAAGCAAATTTGCTCCCTCAGTGTCTAGATATAATGGAAGCATTGGTGGGGTATGTCAATTTGAACTGTGCCCATACCCTCAATATCAACAATAGCACCCTTCTATAGATGTACATGTTGTTGGCAAGTGGGACAACATAAGGATCTTGGGAACATGTAATGGGTCTCCCTATTCTTCATCTTTGCATTGGCCACTTTTATGGATTTCTGTAAAATAGCATCTGAGGACGAAAATTTTTTCAGCCTTGGATGCCATTATACAGTAATCCGCATATAATTAAGACCTTTTCTTTTTAAAAATCAGATGGGAGACTGAAGGGCTTTTGAAGCCAATCTGTAAATATCTGAAGTCAATCTGGAAAGGAGGGAGAAAATTAAAACAAGGTTTACAGAGACACTGTACAGTATATATCTATAGCTGTAATAATAACTGTGTGTCATCAAATTAATTCTGACTTACAGTGACCCTTTACAGAGTTTCCTAGGGTAATAATAACTGTGTGTCATCAAATTAATTTTGACTTACAGCGACCCTTTACAGAGTTTCCTAGGTAGAGAATACTCAGAAGTGGCTTACCATTCCTTTCTTCAGGGGGCATCCTGGGACTGTGCGGCTTGCCCAAGGCCACACAGGCTAACTCTTTCTGAGATGCACACATAGATGTATATCACATATGTATATAGATCACATCTACATCTATATCTATGGGCATGACTAGATGGAGGAATTTGGAGTGATCCAGGTTGCAGTTAAAAGATTCTCATCTTCTGTGCAGTATATAAGCCTAGCATGGATAATTGCTCATATCTTAAAACAGTGCTGCATCACTCAGGAGAATTTTTTTTTAATTGTGAGAAGAGGAAAATAGAGGAGAGATTTTCTCCAACATCCTTTTTTTACTATCACAATCCAGTGCATGCATCACAGGACTGTCACTAAAGAAAATGCCACCCACAGCTCTATTGAGAGTGAATTAAGCAACCATGCAGACTGCAGAATGGAATGATCAGCAATTGCAGCAAACAAATTGTAGCCCTAGCACTGTGCCAGAAAGGAGTGGAACAGTTCATAAAAGGGGCAGGATGGATTGCTCTTACTTAAAACACGTGTGGTTGCCAGAAAACAAGATAAACCAAATTGTACCAGAAGTGGACAAACACGTGTGGTTGCCAGAAAACAAGATGAACCAAATTGTACCAGAAGTGGACTATATGCTCCTCTCTCTCTCTCTCTCTCTCTCTCTCTCTCTCTCTCTCTAAACCTTGGTATTTCTGTAGACTTGATACTTCCTTGTTGGGCATGGATGATGCCATTTTGGATGAACAGAGATCATTGTTCACAGCATGAATATCAGAAATACAGGATGCAATACTTCAGAGAACTTTAGTGAGAAACCTGTTCCTTCTCCGACACCGGTTTCACTATTATTTGGCCTGAGGCTACTGGCAAGAGAATAGAATCAAAGGGCATGTTGACAAGGAGCATTTGCTCAACTTTTCTTGCACCCATGGTACCACACAATGCAAGGCTGAAACTAGTATCAAAAAAAGTCAGAGCAGGACACCAAGACTTGTTTTCTGGCTTTTTGTTCTGATTTGCTCCACTGCAGGATTTGCTGTTCAGACCTCCTTACTGTGTTGATGCATGCTGATCCATGCACTTTGTGGATGTGTGTCAATGATGGAGTTTCCTTATGGATGTTTTTCTGCCTTCTGTCTTTTTCTTTCTTCAAAATGTTATCACTTTTGCATTATAGCACAAAAATAAAAACTAATTTAAAAAAATGAAAATGTGAAGGTTTGAGAATGGTGGCTAGGCAAAAACAAGGAGGGGAGGGAGGAGAAAGTGAAATAAGTGTGGAGAAGGCAGAAAAAATTGAGTTGGTCTTCTGTTTTTATATTTTTAAAAATATTATTCCTTTTGTACCAGAGCACAAAAGTGAAAACATTTTAAAAAATGAAAATTGCACAGCTTTGGGGTGATAATTGTGGGTGGGTAAAACAGGAAAGAAACATAGGAGAGAGGTCTGTGTGTAGAAGTGGTAGCAGGCGGGGTGT